TGTGGCAAGGGTTAAGGATCCCGACCACCCAATTGCTGAGCTAGCCAAGGCAACCACAATGGTGGTTTGAAAATGGGCGACACGTGTACGCGACAAAGTTAAAATGGCGCCCAAACAAAAACCACCGGAAATAACACCAGCGCCATAGGTTGAAATTGGCGCCCGCGAATTAAGTATTTTGGGAAATAACGCTGTGGGCCTAGACCAAAGCAGGGCAATGAAAACGCATATCGAACATAGGTACACATACATATGTACATGCATACAAAGTTCGTGTATAAATTTATTCCAGCCTATAAAAGTATTTTTTTGTTATATCGTTCAAATAAAAGGGTCCGGTTGGACTGCATTCTCCTCCTAAAGAGATGGCTTGCTTTCAGCATTAGTGCGCGAGTTCAACCGCATCTGTATTAAGAGGGTTGTGCGATGACCAGACCCCGGCAATAACCCTAAGATGGCATAGCTGGATATGAATAGTCCTATTTGCATTTCCATCCACAATGCACTTTTTTTATGGTTCATGTTTTTTTTTTGTTTGGAAAGTAGTTTCAGGATGTAATTTTTTTTTTGCTTTTATTCAAAGTCCTAATAGTTGCATAAAATAATTAAGCTGCTTTGAAGTTTAAAAGTACGTTATGACCGCAACTAACACTCAGTTACGATGCATAACCATATTGATTCTGAATGTTTCTTAACTTAGATTTTTTTTATTATTTACACCGAACTGGCATATTGTTGCTCGCAGGAACGACGTATCAGTGCTCCAATCACTCCCCGAAAAGTTTTGTTCAACTGATCCTCAAAACCCGGAAAGTCATCTAGCCCTCCCCCGTTTTTATGAAATCGCATAAGTCAATATCGATCCAAGAATAATTTTTAGTTCTCTTCGTCGTAAATAATATTTTTTTTTAAATATTTCTACATATATTTGAATGACACGCACTCAAATTGCTTACAATACCCGAGCGAACACAAAAAAAGCGAATATGCATCCACCAGGGAACGTGCCTCCACAAAAGGAGCAAAGCACAAACGACCCTGCCTTCATAGACCTATCAGATCGCATAGGGGGCAATAATAACGCTAGGTCAACTGGTAGTGACTCAGTGCAGGAAGTTGCAAACAATGCATCAGGTGCAACTAAAAACACCGGGGCGGTTCCCAAACAGAGTGAGTCCCAATCAATACCCTTAACGCTACCACAACCACTCCCCTGGACTTTTCCCCACCCTCCTCCAACTACTTACGGCGGGACCAACCGGCTTCCCATAAGCAATTCAACCAAGGCTCGTTATATCCGAGATGAAATAGCACCGGTTCTAAAAGAAATGGTCGCGGAAGCACAAAAGAATAGCACGAGGCCCAGATGCACGGGCAGGCGCGTCAGGTTTCGATAATAGGGCGCGCAACCGAATGAGCAAAAAGAGGAAACACAATACCAGCATCGAATCCTTGGAGTCGAGACGTTCAGACAGCGTCGCACCTAGGAGTGATAAGGTTAGTAATAACACCGCAGAAGCCGCAAACAGAAACAACTACGTTGCAAGGTCGCATTCCCCTCTGAAAGCGGCTAGGTCTGTAAAAGAAAATTATAAAGATGATAGTCGATCGGATATTAACATAGAAAAATGGGGGATAAATTATCAAGGTAACCGAGGTTCAATGTCAGTTGAAGATTTTCTGTTTCGGTTAAAATATCTGAAAGAACAATACGCGTGTTCATGGGGAGAAATTCTACGCGACTTCCATAGGCTGTTGAGTGGGGAGGCGCGTGAATAGTATTGGCTCTATATTAAGTCGCATAGTAAAGTGAATTGGCCTAGCTTGCAGTTCGCACTTCGACGCCAATTCGCATCACAACACACCGACTTCGAGCTTCTGAGGGAATTGACCGAGCGGAAGCAAAGACCTGGTGAATCCATAGACGAGTATTTTCACGTGGTGGGTACTTTGCGCTCGCGACTTAGAAATCCAATTCCGGAGTACGAGATTATCCGATTAGTGAAAGGGAATTTGCGCGAATCGTTAGCTAAGATAGTATATCCCATTGCCGCGTATTCACTCGAGCAGCTACGGTTGGAATGTAAGGAAGTGGAACGGTGTTTTCCGCGTAGGGATCGCACGCTAACAAGTGGCTTTGTTCCACGCTCACAACACGTCAATGAAATCATGTCGATGAAGACGAAGAACATTTCTCTCCCTGTGATGAGGGTCAAGTCACCGTGGAGGAAATACGCCACCAACGCGCGGCTAGACAGCCAACTGGGCGCAGCAAGGTATCGTGTTGGAATTGTGGTGTGGAAGGCCATTTCTTCACCGATTGCATGTCCATGCAGTGCCGAATAATTTGCTTCAAATGTGGGAAGTTACAGGCTAACCTAATATTCACGCACGCCGCCAATTTATTGTCAAAAATTTCTCATGCACATGCAACTTGTATGAGATCAACCGAAATTGAACGGCGTGCGTATGAAGCTAACTCAATTTCCAATTTTTGTTCTGCGTGACATTTTGATGTGACGTTTCGCTCAATGAAATCAAATGCAAACGCATGCAAGTCAATTTCGGGTGACGCAAAAAAACAAATTCGACGGCATGCGTACCAAAACGCAAGCCGCGAATATTAGGTTAGCCTGTTAGATGTCATAACACCGAAATGTCCGGTATGCAACCCAGCGGGAAACGCCTTACGGAACGCCATTACGACGGGGGAATCGCGTTCCACACAAAGCCCGCACCAGTAGATGCCTCGACCAACACACCAACAGCCGACGGGCTAAGTCGCGACGCAAAACTACCTGGAAGTGCAACAAATATTAGCATTTTCGATAAAATCAAAAATAATACAAAGAAATATTTGCCCAAGACTGTGAGTATGCCATCCTACGAAGAAAGAATGAGGAAGTATTTGGAAGCACGCCAACGCATAATCGCCGACAGCGCCTTGATGGGACGCCGAAGGGTTTCGCGGAAATTTCAAAAGGCGCCTGATAGGTTTCGACAACGTAAGCTGCTACGCCGAAAGGTTGTGTCGTCGGTAAAGAGCGCAGATCAAGCGGATCCGCGCGTTTATGCCGACATCGAAATTCAGGGCATTCGTACACGCGGATTGTTAGATACTGGCGCATCGGTAAGCATTCTGGGCCGTAGCTGTAGGGAGTTCATAGAAGAACTAGACGCCTCAATTGAACGGTACGTTTCGAGTGTAAAAACGGCTGGAGGACGCTCACACAATGTGATAAGCAAACTCACCTTACCTATAAAGTACAAAGATTTAGAACAAAATATAACTTTTTTTTATGCCCTCACCTTGAACAAAATATCTACTTAGGGGTGGATTTCTGGCGCGCATTCCAGTTAGCTCCAGATCTGATATCAATAGATTAAATCAACTTCAGCAAATTAGAGCGCGATTTGGTGTCCGAAGAGGATAAGAACGAGCGGCGTGTCCTGCATATTCTTTCGGCGGAACAAAAAACAACGTCTACAGCAGGTGGTCAGCGGCTTCAAAACTTATGAA